GGTGGGGGCCAGGCAAGCGTGGGGACGGGAGGGGGGAAGCCTGCGCCCTTGAAATATTTATGCTGCAAATTAACATGTGTTTTAAGCCCGTGATTCTTCAAATATTTATCTAGCGTTAATATTTCGAAAACCGCATTAAATTTTGCCACTGGTGCTTTATTCATTAGGAGCCTCGGCAGCCTCAGACACAGTGCCGGAGAAATCTGCGCCGCGTCCGCGCAGAGACGGCAGCTGGAGGATGGGGCTGGGAGAGGGAGATTTCTGCTCCTGCTTCCGAAGCAGGGAGCTTAAAAATGAACCAAAATGAACTCCTTCCCCACAGCTCCAGCAGCGTAACTGCAGACGTTGGGTTCAGCAGAGCATGGGCCACGGGTTTTTTTGACCCGTCTGACTCCAAGCAAAAATAATTGAATGTGAGCAGGGTGAGATGGATACTCCCACCAGCAACGGGAAGGGGAGCTGGGGCTGGGGGGGGACACGGTTTTTTTCCAAGCTTGATGGCTGCTGTGGGGCTGTGAGAGCAGACGACGTGCACAAAGCTGTGTCCTCCCTTCCTGCACGTGCCAGCCCCATCCAAGGAGGTGGTTGGTTGTGGGGGGAAAAGTGGGTGATTTGGCCCATGGTGGCTGCCAGGGCTAGTGCCACCGCTCTGACGGTCACCCCCAAACCGGAAGCTTTGCCAGGGGACACGGGGGACACCCCAAGGCCCGAGCAAGCATCAGTCGGGGTAGCAGTGAGGGGTTTGGGTCCCTCACGCTCTCTCCTCCCGCTGCGTTAGCCCAGGGCTGGAATTCGGCTTCGGCCTCACGTTGGCTTCTGTCCCCTGTTTTTTATGCGACCCACTTGCCAAAATACCCCGAGCACGGAGAGACTTGGAAGGAAAAGTACAGGACATGGAGACAAATGCTCAGTGTCGCTGGCACAGGGAGCTCATTTTCCCTTGATTCCTTGACATTGCAATTGATACACGGCTTAATGGGCTTTACTGCTGCTGCCAGGTTCCTGTTAAAATTACTCCCAATTATGGCAAACGTTTAACTTTAGGTATGAGCAGAACTGCGAGCAGCTCCATTTTGTACATCATCTTTTTGTTAAGCTCCTAAGCTCCGCTGCAATTCTGCTCCATAAAGCAAGGAGAGTTTCGGGGGGGGCTGCAGACTGCAAACTGCTACAGGGACTGCAGCAGGACAGATTCTTTTTGCATTATAAAGCCGGTGAGTGAGATTTCCAGCTGCAATTTTCATTTTTATTTATTCTCATTTTGCGTGGGCAATGGGGACGTGCTAGAAGCTGCTTTTCTGGACTGAGCAAACCTAAAGAAAAAAAAAAAAAAAGGTGCCTGGTGCTCCCACCTGGACTGGTGCTTCCACTGAAGAAGTCTTGGAGTCTGGTCCCTTATTTCAGTTCTCTGTTTCCTTTCCTTTTTGAGTACTCTTGCATAATTAAGAGGTGAACCTGGCAGACAGCATCCAGCTAATACAGACATGATTAATTTCCATCTTCTCTTCTTATTTTTAAAGGTTGTCCTCTCCCATTGCAGAAAGCTTCATCGCAGATGGGTAGGAAACCTGCCAGGCGGCCACATTTCTGAGGTAAAAGGGGACAAGACATGGGAAAGTTTAGTGCTTTGAAAAAGTGACCTTTCTTGGTAATTAATTTGTCACTTCCCAACACCATCTGCTGACTCGTCAGCTGCATCCATCATAACAGTGCGAAAAACACTGGAAAAGTCAATTAAAATGGGAAATGGTGTCAAATGGGCTTCGCGCAGTTTCTCCAGCAACGGGAGGGGGGGAAAAAAAAACCCATTCTCATGTAATGTCCTTTCATCGACACACATACACGCAGTCCCAGGGAGAAAAACTATGATGTTGACCTCTCTGGAAGCTTTATAGCCAGGACCACTTCACTGCCCAGCAATAAGCTGCAGTGAATGCGCAGGGATCTGGGCAGCATCGTAGTGACTGCAACGGTTTTTAAGGAGGGGCTGGGGCCCAAATGGAGCGTTATTGACTGCAGGGACAGCAGCAGGTCCCCTGGGAGGAGGACGCAAAGCGCAGTGTGTACACACCGTATTGACCGGCTGCGCTGGAGCTGGGTGAGAAAGGGCATTTTATGGGTTTGGGCAATAGCAGTTTTCCCCTTGTCTCCAGCAAATCGTTGCGGTGCTTGGCTCTCAACCAGGCAGGGAGGAATGCTGCTGCTCACCCCCGCTACAACACCCCGCAAGGCCGTTTGATGAAGGAGGATTTCATTGCTTCCCCAACTCATTTTTTCCTCTTTCATCTCGCCTGGTTGCTCTCAGGTTTCCTCACGTGGAGCCGCCCGTCCAGGAGAAGCACCTTGGCCTCGTCCCAACCCCTCCAGCATCAACCTGATGGTCTTGAAGAGGCCAAAGACGAGATCTTACAGAAGTCACTTGCTCTCTCTCTGCACCTCTTTCTTCTGGAGAGAGATGGCAGGGGACAGTCCTGAGCCCCTGAGGGGGATCGGTGTGTTCAGGACTGTGTGATGCTCAGTTGGGGTGGGAGAAGGGGCCTCTCAAAAGGGACAGAGAGATCCCCCCGACAGCTTTGATATCTCCCCACTTGTCTGCTCAGTTTATAAAGCTTTTTAGGTGCGAGATTCAGCATGTGTAGTTTTATTTATTATTTTAATATTTAGCTCTAGATCCTGCCAGGGGATTTATTACCTTAAATCTATGCTTTTTGTAATGCTTGTGGGTCAAACTTCATTCTGCATTATGCTTATTTTGCGGCAACATTGTTATTATTGTGATTTGTCCACATTTGAGTAGAAATATAATTAAGATACAGGCATCGTTTTATCACCGGTACACTCACATCAAAATTGCTTTCTCCTGCAGGGCTCATGAGCCAAATAGACAAACTGGCAGAGAGGAATTTTTCCATTTTATAGCTGGGGAAACTGAGGCAGAGATGCCCTGTCTGGCTGTGGGACCCACTGAGGACAGCTGCCAGCCTAAACCTGGGGTGGGAGGAAAGGGGACCTTCCTGGAAACGAGAAACTTCTAAAAATCCAATGCAGATAACAGCGTTCCCTCCCTGGCAAACACGTTTCCACGCACGCCAGGTTCGTCAGCTCTGCTGGAAGTGTGGCCCCACACAGGTACGTGGTCATGTACTGGTGCCCCTACATGTATATAAAGGGTGGGAAAACCAGCAGGAGCATCCAAGTGTGGCCAGGAGCAAGAGAGATCTGCCCTCCAGCATCCCGTGGCTGTGCTCCCAGGTAGGTGCTTGGTCTCCTTCACAAGCTCGGTGGGGTGGGCACCTCGTGGGTCCTCTCTCAGCACTGGTGTTATTGGCATGTCCTGGCCTCAGCCAGGAGAGCTCTGACAAGAAACAGGAAGCAAAATCGATGTTTAAACCAAGGGGAAAGGTGCTTTCTGCTCATCCCCCATGGTAGGAGCATCGATTCCAGAAGCTCCTGCCTCCTGCCTGTGGTGAGCACCCAGCGGAGGCGCGGGGAGCCCCGGGTGCCCTCTGCACGCAGGGACCTGCTTTGAAGAGACAGAAAATGAGTCACAGACAGTTCCTATTGACAGTAACGATCTGATTCTTCTTTCTGGAAGACAGCTCTGTAGATAAAGGCACCGTCTTGTCACTGTGCTCACACCAGTACCAGGTGGATGTTGACCCCTCCTGCCCCCAAACTGGCATTTCACCCCGTTTTACGCAGTTATAAGCAGAGCTGGGAACTGCTGCACCCAGCCCCATGCGACCACGACTTTGTTGTGCTGATGCTGAACTTGGGATCCTCCCGCTCTCTGCTTTCTTTTTGTAGCTGGGAAGCAAATTCGCCAACAACAAAGTACATATCTGCCTGGAGAGGCATTGTACGAGAGATCTCGGGTCTGAAATACATGTCCTGCTTACAAAATAAGGAAGGGACATTCAGAAACAACAGTCTTTGACTGGAGTAATGTCTGGGGGTGTTTCTCCAGGGGAAGAGGGAGCGAATCAATTCACAAAGGGATAGTCAATAAGAGATGAAGGAGGTGGCTGGGTTTCTTTCTTTTATATGGCAGCATTTTATTGTGGTGGCAGAATAAATGAAAAGGCAAGAAAGACTGATGCTACTCAGATAACACCATGTTACCAGCACATCTGCATATCAACACGTTGTTATTACAAGGGGAGAGCCTGAGAAATCCTCTTTTGATCACTGCAGCAAACAGAACCTCTCGCTGGGTCGCAGCTTTGATGGCCCAGCCTGGGTGGAGGAGATGGCACCCGTGCTGCCCCAGGCAGTGCCAAGGGAGAGGAGGGGGCTACAGCCACCGTCACCCTGCCCTGGCCTGGAACAGCAGAGGGATGTGACTGGCAAGTGCTGCAGAAGGGAATATTTATTAACTTCCACTGGCCTTCAGTTCAATACCAGCTGATATTTATGGGAAATCTAATTTAGGGGTCAAATTTGACCTAACAATGTCTTTTCAATAACATCCAAACCGAGAGGTTTCTGAAACTAATTAAGGATCAGTCTCCAATCAGGTAGAGTAGTTAAGCTGTGGGACCCGACTTCATTAAATTCGTCCAGAGAGAATATTTTAATATTTAAAAAGAACATTTAATGTTTACGTAAGTCCTCTTCTGACGTGAAGTCACTGTTAAATCACTTCAGAAGTTAGTTTTTAAAGCCCTTTATACCAGGCTTTTATGGAGCCAGGCTGGCAAATGCCCTTCCCAGCTCTCTTGGACCCAATGAGGCTTATTAAAAGATTCTGTCTATCAATGCAGGTTTTGAGGAGTGAGGAATACGAAAACAAAATTTAACAAAACAGCTGTCTTAAGGCTTTTTCTCTCTTACAGCATCACTCTGTCTCCCTTGCTGTCAGTGGGATTGATGGGAGCGTTTTCCTCTGGATGTGTGCGGGTCTTAAACCAGTACAGCTGGAGGGCTAAAGCTCGCAGAACAGAGGGAGTCTTTAACAGTACTGAAGGGCTGGGCTTGAAGTCCCTGGAGATACTGCTCAAGAACAAATCTGTTTACAGAAGAAGGTTTGGGAGGAGAATTGTCAGTCAAGACACTTCTATTCTCAGCTCAGGAGCAACTGGAAGAGTAAATATACCTCTAGTTAGCTGGTAGATAAATTAGATTGCAGCTGATCAAAAGCCAAAGGGATTTCTTGTCACTCGGCCCCTCTCCACTATCACCCTGGTATCTTCTTTCCTGTGTCGTTCAGACTCTCATGATGGTTTCAAAGAAGGTGGTGGCCAGTCTGCTCTTGGTGTACGTGGTGTCGATGCTGGCTGAGCAGACCGAAGGCTTCGTGCCCTTTTTCACCCAGAGCGACTTCCGGAAGATGCAGGTAACCCCAGGAAACGGACTGCAGGGGCTGGAACCCCGAATTAACCAGGAAAGGTGTTTCTTCCTCCCTAATCCCCCAAGCTCTGCCGGTGCACACCGTGCCACTGTCATCACTGTCATCTGCCCCTTCTGTTCAAACAGATGCCATTGGCCTTCTTGGCCACCAGGGCACATTGTCAGCTCATGGTCATCCTTTTGTCCATCAGAACTCCTAGGTCTTTCTCCTCAGAGGTGATATGAGGCTATAAAGAAAGATATGAGATTATAAAGGAAGAGCCTGGAGTCCTTTCCATAAGAACTAAAAGGCATATGTGGGTTATTATGGGTTATCATCTGTGGCCAGTGGGGCTCGGGTTTCTTTCCTCCCTGCTCGTGGCTGTAATTTTTACAGAGAGCTGCAGCCTCCCATCACCACACTGATGGGTCTTTTTGTTGTAACAAATAATTAACCATCCTCCAGATGGTTGTCACCTCTGGGATGTGCAGAGAGGAGAATGTTTTTTCTTTTGATGTGAAACTAATACTGTTGAAAGGTGTCAGGCAGGCAGCCTCAGAGACTGCGTCGTCTTAAACGCAGCCGAAGCGAGCTTCCCCCGCACGACACAACCCATTGATACTGAGGAAAAATCTTGTTCCCAACACCTATCCACTTGCTGGATAGCAATTGCTTTTTGTGGGGAGTACAATCATCCTTCAGCCTTGTTGAGGAAGATGATGGGGACCCACGCACAGCCCCCAGATTGATTGTTCATACATCACGACCCTTGTGGCTACGTGCCTGCTTGTGATTGAGGGTCTTCTAGATGTACATGGGTGAAATCAGTCTTCCAAAGGCTGCCTCTCCTCCTCTGAGCACACACTCAAACCAAAGCAAGAATTACAGTCCCCAAGGCGATGCTGGCCACAGCTGATGGGTCCCTTCCCAGTGAGCTGTGGCCCTGGGGGAGGATGCCACCTTGGCCCCAGGCAGTGGTGGGACCTCCAGTCCCTCTGGTTCTGTGCCCAGCTCTGCAGGCTCCTGGCTGCTGGGCATCACACACTGTCGATGTGGTGCAGAGCGGGTTTGGTACCCACACGATGCTTTGTCCCAGCATCACTGCCCCGTTTGCTCTCTGCTGTGAAGTTGCAGGAAAAGGAGAGGAACAGAGGAGGGCAGAAGAAATCCCTGACCTCGCTGCAGCAGCTGGAAGAGGAAGGTTTCTCTGAGGAATCCCCTGCAGATGTCCACAAGGTCCAGACCATCCAGGTATGTTGAACCACGCGACTCGAAGGAGCCCATGAGGACACACAAGGGGACAAATGGCCCAAGAGTCAACCCACAGGGCCTGGCTATAGAAGAGTGTTTGGTGATGCTGTGTGAGAAGACAGTGGGTGTTATCAGGGAGCTCACAGTCGATATAAAGGAACACCACTTGCTTCCAGCCAGGCAATGGAGCGAGGTTGCATCAAAGTTTTACCTCCACCCTATAAATTATCTCGGACACTCAGCATCCTGGTCAGCCCTCAGTCCCACCCGGCTTCTCCTTTAGTATGGGGAAGATGGAAACAACATGAGGTCTTTCTTTGCCCTTCAGTGACCACCAGCCAACTGCAAGGCAGGAACTTGCAGCTCTGCTTCAGCTCCAGGTTTAACTTGTCACTTTTTCATCCAGCCCCAGATTAGCTGCCTGGTGTCACCCCTGATCTCACAGCCCCATGCACTGGCAAGACCTTATTTGTAAACTTGGGCCCATACAGCTCAAGTCCCACCCTCCCTCCCCCCAAAGTCTGTATACAGAGCAGAAAATTGGCAATTTTAGGGATTTAAGTGCCAGTCTAAGCCCTCAAAGGCATGCTTACCTGGTTAGCCAAGTCTGAAAATTGTTCTTTTCCACTTGAATTCAGGGAACTCTTTGCCCTGCCCGTGCAGCCGCTCCTGCAGGGAGCTGGGCCATTCCATCCACCAGCAAAGGGAGTGTGTAGGTCCACCCCAAACTGGGGGGGGATGGAGGGGGACAGGCAGTGGGGCTGTCCAGACTGGAATTTGGCCAAGACGCAGGTTAACGTGCAACTTGCTCTCGCAAACGTGGTGCGCCAACAATCAATAACAGGATTTAAACAGCAAGGATTCACAGTTCAAAGCGTTAAATAACTGGCACATCCCGGTGTCTAACGCTCCCCCGCTGCAACCACAAGCCCTCCTGTGCCTCCAGCCATGACCGGAACAACTCTATTTACTTTGGGTACATCTGAGCCACGGCTGGCTCAAAGTCAGTCGGTCTGGAGGCAGGATGATGTCTCATCCTCAGCCTCTACCAAGGCAGGGTGCTTCACCGGCGTCAGTAAAGCTGATGGCTTGAAGGGTCAAGGTGGGAGATAGTGGGGGATTATAAGGTTCAGAAATTATTTTCTTCTTTACGGTCTCTGTTGCCAGGAGGTACCTTTATCTGTGTTTCTGAGTCAGCCCATAGATGATCCAATGCATGAAAACTTTAGCACTCTGAGCGGTACGAGATTGCATTGACTTCAAAAATGTTGCTTTTCCCCCATTATAAGGATCATCCCCAAATCAGCCCCACGCCCTCTACTGACTTGAGCAAAGAGGGGTCAAAGCACCCCAACCTGCCTCCCTCTGGTCTCCTCTGACTTTTCCTTCTGACTTTTCCTGCTTCCCCCACAGCTAGCTGTTCCTGTCAGAGCTGGGATGTGTCTCACCCCAAGGCAGCTGGAAAAATACCAAGATGTCCTGGAGAAACTGCTAGCAGAGATGTTACAGGACACCCCAGACGGTACTGTCAGGAGGTTGATTTCTGCCTCGGGAATTCTGCCTTTCCCTCCTCTCACCAGCTCATCATCACGAGATATTTATATTCCTCAGAAGGGCTTTTGTGTCATGTTTGCTCACTTTATGGAGTCCTCAGATACCCCACCCGCTCTCATGCACACGCTCTTCTTCTGGGAAGGTTATTCACTCTCTTAGGGTGCTGGCTGTGCCCTCGAGCTGATATTGATTGTTAGCAGCATTGCAACACTTCCCCGCAGCTCCCCTTGGCTCCGCTTCCCACTTCCCTACTCCTCCTCCCAAAAAGTCCTCAATCTTCAGGGTGGGACTTCCAACGGAGCTTATAACACCAGCTGCACCTGCGAGGCAGCTCAGCACCTGCAGCCAGCGCCGAGCCCCTCACTCCCTGCACAGGGGCTTACAACTAATGCTTAATTACAGTTAGAATTAGCTGCAATCTGAGGAGTTGAGCGCTAACGAATCCAGCCCTGGGCTTTAGTGGATGGGAATTGCAAAAAGAAAATATCCAGGGGCACTATGTGACGCAGCTATTACTGCCTGCAGACTTGAGGGGTGGTGCAATGGGTCTCACTAGTGTTATCTCTGGATCCTTTCCTTATCTGGGCTTAAATGTCCCCAAAAAAGAGCGTGCCCTCTATCCCCGTGGGATTTGTTACTCTGCTTTGGCTGGGCTGATTTCAGTTTGCCTTCTAGCTTTTTAGATGGGGAGCTGAGGAGGAGGAAACAATACATAAAGCCTAGGGAAGACTGAATGACAAATTTAAGGACACTTGTTCTTTCCTCTCTTTTCTTTTTAGCTGACTGATATCTGCAGAATCAGAAGAGAAAGCGATGTAGCTTGCCGAAGCTAAAAGACTCCACTTATGTAAACGAAATCTGTAAAAGAGATTAACGAAATCTGAGGTGAGATAATAAAATGCGCAGCATAATTAAATGGAGGATTTGTGCCTTCCTTTCTGCGTGCCTCTCAGCCAGATGGCAGGCAGCAAGTGTGGGAAAGCAGAGAGGGAGGGAAGGTTTCCAGTTCTAGAGAACATCCCCGTCCTTCTGAGAAGTGCAAAGCATGTTGCAAAGCCTGGGTAATTAATCTTTGTGGGCTAATGAGTCTGAGCCCTCCCTTTTGGCAAGGAGGGAAACTGAGGCAAGTGTTTACCATATCTCCTAGCCAAACCGGTGACACGAGGGCAGGATGAGGAGCGTTGGGTGAGGGATGAGGGACCTGGGCATCCCCACCAGGCTCTGGAGGTGGGAGGGCACTCTGCCACGCGGCTGGGAGAGAGCAGGAGCCCAGATTTGCAGTTCCTACCTGTGCTCTCACACCCCTCCTGCTCACCCAGGCGATATAAATCTAGAGAACGCTGTGAGGAACACCTCACCCCACGGCTACGATGGCAACAGGCACAGCCTATGTGAAACAATGCAGAGCTCCGGCCTTAGCTCTGCCTCTCAAACCAACCCAGGGGTGAAATCCTAATTCCACTTGAACATACTGCTCTCCATTTACATACCTTTGGCTTACTTTAGAGCTGCTCCTCTATACTGGCAGCAGGAAATCCAACATATGTAAAGTAAGGATGGGTGAGACCAATGGTATGTATGTGAGTATATCCAATTTCAATCCAATTTTATCCTCCCAACCTAACGCAAGTTCTGTTCTTGCTGTGGTTCATTTAAATAGCTGTGTTTGTGCTAGAACAACACTCCCTGGTACGTCCTCTGCTGCAAGCCAGCCCTTAGGAGAAACGAAATCTCCCAATGTATAATGCAACATCCAGCATGGACTGGATTCCAGCTTTAACATTTGATTCAAAGGCACATTCCCCGTCCAGGGAGTGATCAGCTCAGCGTAACTCAAAGTTTGCAGGGATTATTGCTGAGGCAGGTTGAGCTATGAAATCGCTATAAATGAGTCTGAGCGGGAGGAAGATAGAAAATAATACATTCCATTAGGCTGAGAGTGAAATCAGCTGCATGTATTGCTGGGCTGTAGGAGCTCAGGCAGCGCAAACCAGTCGGTGGTGGAGTGATACCCATGGAAGAGCTGGTGTGGAAATCATGGGAGGAGCTGCACCACGTTCACACCAGTGTCCAGCAAGAGCAGAGACTGTTTGCTTCAAAGGGGGACTGTTGACTTGTCACTTCTGAAAGACCCAAACCTTTACCCCAGGTTTAATTTTGCCCTGCCACAGGAGAACAGGGAGAATTTCCCCTTGAGGGGCAAACTGCTCCTAAAAGCCCTACGTAAGCTCCACGGCTGGTCCTGCTCTCCAGCGTGTCCTTTTACCCAGCTCTTTCACTCAGGTGTTTCCCAGGCTGGCAGCTCCCCTGTGCTATCCAGGAAGGAAAGTTTCCCAGTGACAGCAGGAAAGAAAGTCTACGTGAGCCTCTTGGATTTGCTTCCTGGACCATTTCCCACCACAGCGATGGTGGGGCCGATGCTGCAGACACTTCCATGAGGAGATCCACCAATGTGACTTTGCAGGGATGTCTCCCTCTACTCTTACATTTTGATCCAGACAAGCTGTAACAGTAAAGGGCTGCTTTTACCATGGCCGTTTGTTCTGCCAACGGCTCTTCCCAGTTGACCCAGCTACAAATGAGCCCAGGGATGGATGGTTGGTTGTGACAGTAACCGTCTTGCCCTGCAGCAACAACCGGGCAGTCCAAACAAGGGGCCCTTCAGCTTTTGGGAATAAATACTTTCCAGCCTTGGGGGCTTGAGTAGTGGGAAAGAAGCAGATATTCTTCTGCTGGAAGGACAAGACGGATGGAGCCCAACCATCTTCCCAGGCAGCACTCCTGCTGTCAGGGCTGTATCTCTTGATAAGAAGCAAAATGGTCTCCAAGTTACAGGGCAGATCTGTATTGCCAGTGCCCTGGAAGGCTGCTTTGGCAGCCACTAGCACAAAAGTCCATGCCCACACGCAGACAGGAAGATCTTGCTGCTCAAGAAACTGAACCACAGTTTGGTGGCAGGACAAGCAGATGAATCGTTTGGGGGAAAGAGGCAGGGAAAGGAGGAAAAGGAAAAGACTGAAACCCGCACTGTCTTTCTAACCTAATAAGAAGCTCGTCAGGCTGAGGACATGACATGCGATCGGGAGGATGAGGAGCGGTGTTCTTGGGTCACACCTGTGCTGTGGCTGTGAGTGACAGGGTGTTAAATTGGCGCAGTCGGCTCCCGAGTACGGTTTGACACTTCCCCGGTGACATATGCAGGACTGTCGTCCAAATGCCACGGGATACGCAGAGGTGGGGGTGGGATGGTGGTGGTTTTTTTTTCAGCAGCCCCTCAGTCAGGGGTGAGAAGGGTTCAGCTGCTGCCCGTGTTTTTTGGGGAGCAGCGCGCTCCCCTCCTCAGGCACCTTGTGAAGATGGCGCAGATCTATTTCTACCCCTCTGCGTACAGCAGCCCCATCTTGATGCTTCAAGAGGAGAAGCAGACGGCACAGCACGCCTGCTCTTCCCATTCCAGAGCTGAGTCACTGCCAGGCAGTCCTAAGGCAGCTTCTGGGCGAGCAGGGAAGGTGGAGGCTGTCCCCTCCTCGCCGTCCCATCTTCCCACACCCCGCTCAGCAGATTTACAGCCAAGATACTCAAGCGCTGCGCCGTGGGCTGGGAAACTGGCTTTTCACAGCCCAGCGTCTCTGAGCATGGCAGCCCATCTGCAGCATCCACGGGCTTGTGCTCGCCCTGGCAGCCTTTGCTGCTGCCCAGAGCCGTGGGGATGGTAAAAAGGTTCCACAATCACAAAAAACCACCATCAGCCTCATCACCGGCATTGTGAGCAGGGTGACAGAAGCCAGTAGGGGCTTGTCCATGGGGATACAGAGAGACAGAGGGCTGTCTTCTCCTGCTGCTTCCGTGGCGTCCAGGTGTTACCAAAGGCAGGCCTCTGCTATGTTCATAACCACATGCTAACTAAAATGAGTTAATTACTGAGCTTCTTACTGTGTGAGAAAATGGTTAGTGCCTGAGCTGCTAGTGATAAGGATGGGATAACAAGAAGTAGTTAATCACTTCAAGAGTCTCTCATGTGTCAAAGTAGGTCCTCTTGTACCAATTAGGACACAGCAGTGGCTACTTCAAGGAACATCCTGATCATCCTCAAGAAATTGGCAAATTTACAGTAAACTTTTACTGTCCTAAGATGACTCAATACCTTAAAAGGATAACGTGAGGAAGGGCATCCCCACCCAAATGACCAGTGAGGAACTCACACCTGTGCAAAAGTGTTTTGCTGATGCTACAAAATCTAATATGCGTGTGCAAAAGGGCTACTAATGGGTCATCCTAATGAACATGTAAGCTTAGGTGGAGTTATGTATTAGGTAGGTGGAATAATGAGAATCTTTTGTGTATAAATAGTGGGTGAATGTCCCCAGCAAGGTGGGGTAGATTTGTGGATTTCCACCTAGTACCTGACATCAAATAAAACAATATTTCCTCTCTTCTGGTTTCGAGAGCTTTTGTTTCAGGTAACACAGGTACCTTCCAGGGAAGACAGGGATGCTCCCAAGGGTTGTCTTGCCAAGAAGGAAGGGAGAGGGGCTGTGGATTTCTCTCTGCAAAGAAGAGGCATCTGTTCCTGCTGAGCATCGGCACCGCCAACCTCCCTTCTGCCAAGGAATCACAGCTTTTCCCCAGCCCCGTTCTCCAACACCACTCCTGTGTTTTCCACTCTGAAGGTCACACAATGAGGCTGCTGGGCCATACTCTGTCTGGGTTTAACTTCCCTGACAGCCAGAAACACTGGGGTTTTTTTGGTAGCTTTTGTGCTTTTTCTCCAAAGCAAGAGGAGTTCACTTAATTCATGAGCTCATACCAGCTCAAGTTTAGATGCCAGCACACAGCTGCACGTCTAGGCAGAGCTTCTCCAAACCAAAAGCTGGGAGCTTCCAAAAACTGTGTATTAAGAGCATATTCTAATTCTATATTTACATTAGACACTGCTCCAATTTATTAGCTGTCAGTTGTGCTTTCCAGTTAGTGAGCAGGGGAGGCTCGGCTTAACACGTTCACACTTCCCATTGGAACTGAGTATGCTCTTTTAAGGGGCTCCCCAGCCTCTCCTAAGCGTGGATTTGTTGTTGCCAACCAGATTAACAAACCTCAGTGCCTTGTTGCCGCTTTCTTGCACAAATCATAGAATCATAGAATGGTTAGAGTTAGAAGGGACCTTAAAGATCATCAAATTCCAACCCTCCTGCCCTGGGCAGGGACACCTCCCACCAGACCAGGTTGCTCCAAGCCCCCTCCAACCTGCCCTTGAACCCCTCCAGGGATGGGGCAGCCACAGCTTCTCTGGGCAACCTGTTCCAGTGTCTCACAGTAAATAATGTCTTTCGGGTATCTAATCTAAATCTCCCCTCTTCCAGTTTAAAACCATTACCCCTTGTCCTGTCACTACACTTCCTGAAAAAGAGTCCCATCAGGAAGAGTGAGGCAAGCTTTGCCTGATGCCCTAAACACGAAGGGCACAACAGTGAAAGGGGCATCCCTAAAGAAGTTTTTACGTTGAAAAGGCACAGTTTAGTCTCTCCAGCCAGCAGGGGATGGGGGTCCACTGTGAGCTCTCTCAGACCCCCCCTCCAGCTCCCACCGGCTGCAGGTCCCGTTCCCGAGGGACCACCGCGTTTCCACCACTCTGGTATTGTACGTCCATCATAAAAACAGCGATGCGCAGACAGCCTGCACGCATTCATCACTACTTTTTCATTATCTTTAATTAAATTCCGATATTACGCCACAGTATTTCAGCCACTTTCATTACTTTCTTTGCAGGCGGCGGCAGGAAAAAGCAATTACTGTACATCACTGCCTTGCCAAAATAAATTTTCAAGTCAACACTTGGTTTGGCTTTTTAGGCTGCAAAGTATGCAAGGAACCTCCTTCCCCGGCAAATATTCCGAGGACCCAGATCCTGATCCTGCTGAAAGCGGTGGCAAAGCTCCAGCCCGCCTGATGGGTGCCAGGTCAGCGACTGGAACTTGGCAGCGACGAGAGGGATGAGGAAAAAGTGGGGAGGGGGGGGAGGTGGCAGGTGGCTGGGAAAGATACTTCTTTCTCCTCATAAATGTCTCTAAAAGTGGCAAAACATCGGTGTAGTTCAGTTGGAGTGAGGTGAGAGGCGCTCAAGCCTTCTGCTTGTTCCTAACAGGGTCCTCCAGAGCGATGGTGTGGTGACACTGGCTGGCCCGGATGTTGAGGCAGCTTTTGCCCTTCTCTCTACCCATTTTTCCCCGCTTTCCCCTCTCCTGAGATGAACAAAGCTCCCACCAGCCACCATCGCCACTCTGAGGGGGCCCCTGATCTCCCCAACAAGACGGACCCGGCGACCCTGCCTCCGCAGGAGAGGTATGAGGGGAGCAGCGCTTTCCTCGACCTACTCAATATGGCGCTCTCGCAACATGGCGCCGCGGAGGCCGCGGCGTGGGATGCCCTTCCCAAGATGGCCGCCCTAGCGGGACGGCACCGCCGGCCCCTCCTAAGATGGCGGCCGCATTTCCGACTTGGCAGAACACTTCCGGCGGGGCCTGGTGTCAGTGCCGCGGCCATGGCGGACCTGACAGACGCGGAGCTTCGGAAGGAGCTGATGGCGCTGGGCTACCGGCCGGGCCCCATCACCGCCACCACCCGCAAGGTCTACTTGAAGAAGCTGGGCTGCCTGCGGGCCGAGGTGGCGGCGGCCAAGCGCAGGGGCCCCGCCACGCCACCCAGCCCGGCCCGCTCCTCCGCCAGGCCGCAGCAGGCCTCGCCCTCGCGGCCGCGCTCCGGCTACAACCCCGCCGTCGGGGCTGCCCACGACAGTGAGGAGGAGGATGAGGAGGAGGAGGAAGAGGAGGAAGAAGAAGAAGTGGGGCAACAGCCCGCGTCCCGCTGGGGGACGCCTGGGAAGGGTGGCGGGCTGGCCTGGGGGGACTCCCGGGGGTCCCCGCCGGGCCGGAGCGGAGGGCTCGGCCACGGGCCTGAGGGAGGCCTGTCCCGGGACAGCTTCGGGGGGGTGAGCTCCTCGGCGCAGTGGGGAGGAGAGAGGAGTGGGGGTGCCAGGGCCGGGCTGGGGGGGTATGAAGGGCTGAGCTCCCCCTCCCCATGGGACACGTCCATACAGAGAAGTGGGGGGCTTGGGGACAGGCCGGGGGCGTCCCGGGATGGGCTTGGGGGGCTGAGCTCCGCTTCCCTGTGGGGCACATCCGCAGAGAGGAGTGGGGGGTTTGGGGCTGGGTTAGAGCCATCCCTGGATAGGTCTGGGGGGCTGAGCTCCACGTCCCACTGGGAGATGTCGGAGGAGAGGAGCAGGGGGCTCAGCACCGGGCGGGGGGCGTCCCTGGATGGGTTTCAGGGGCCAAGCACCACGTCCCAATGGAGCACGTTTACAGAGAGGAGTGAGGAGCTCGGTGTTGGGTCAGAGCCGTCCCTGGATGGGTTTCGGGGCTCAGGCTCCTCTGCCTCGCAGTGGGGCACGTCAGCAGAGAGGAGCGGGGGGCTCAGTACGGGGTTGAAGGCGACCCTAGATAGGTTTCGGGGGTCTAGTGGCACATCCCAGTGGAGCACAACTGCAGAGAGAAGTGGGGGCCTCAGCGTCAGAGGTGGGTCGGGGACATCCTTGGATGGGGTTGGAGGGTTGAGCTCCACGTCCTCCTGGGGTGTCTCCACAGGCAGGAGCGGGGGGCTCAGCTCCAAACCCCTTTCCAGTGATGAGGTTGGGGGGCTGAAGCCCAGGAGCCACTGGGGCATGTCGGGAGGAGGAATTGGGGGGCAGAGCTCCCGAGCTCAGTGGGAGACAGTGGGGGAAAGGAAGGGGTTCTCCTCCAACAGCGCGTGGAGGCGGGAAAGCGAGGTGACACCTGGCACCCACTGGGGCACCGCGGCGGGACCTGGGGGGGTGAGTCACCAGTTTGGGAGAGGGAAAGAGGATTTGGCTTCCAGCGTTCGGAAGGAGGCGGACAGGGAGCTGAACCCCAGCAGCCGAGGAGGGGGGTTGATCCGGCGCTTTCCATGGAGGGCTACGAGCGACACAGGGCTGGCTTCGGGGAGCCGGTGGGGAGCAGGGCAGGGAATAACCTCCCGAGCCCCCTTGTTGCGGTCAGGCCCCAAGCAGCAGACGGAAGGAAAGGGCAAAGGCCTCGAATACTACTTCTCCCAGTTCCTTTGCCTCGCCAGCTTTGTGCTGCTGATGATCTTTCTGGGCATCCTCATGGTGAAGATGATCGGGTCAGGCTGGCTTGACAAGAGAGAGGAGAACTGTACGTGCACTGGTTTAATCCTGTTTTTAAACTGTATTCACCTTTCTTTTCTGCCTTTATTACTTCCACCGCCATCACATTTATCATTCTTATTGCTGTAACCTGACATCTCTGCTTCTGTCCCCATTTCCATCTCCCTTTGCCCGTGGGAAACCTTGTTAGTCAGGGAAAGTAAGTCAAGTGTGTCCTTTTTGCAAACAAATTTGGACTTCGGTTCTTCAGGACCATGGGTTTTATGGAGAGTGATGTGTCTGCCAAGGCCAAGGATGTATTTTATGATTGTCCGTTGTGTAATATAACGTCTGTGTAATTGTCCGTTGAGTGTTTTTAATGTTAGGCTCTGCAAAGTGCAGCCCTTCCTGGCCTTTATCCTGCCCCTGTGAGAATGGGGACTTGGGCACTAAAAGTGTAGCAGAGCTTCAATGAAAAACAAAATGGGGCTTCCCCTATCACTCAGTTTTTAAAGCAGAGCTTCCCAGCTAGAGTGGATGGAAATCATTGTCGTTTCAGGGCTTTGATCTGAAAGAAGAAGAGATTTGGGGTGTGGCTGGGAAGGTGTGTGTCCCAAAACTCAGTGCTCTGTGCCTGTAGGTGTGTGTGTGCTTTGCATGGGCTGGGAGAGCTGTTTCCTGCTCAGTCAGAATAAAACTGTCCAATGTCAGTGAATTTCTGATGCACCCTTTACAACTATGGTAGATGTTTTGAAATTTGTGGTATTTTGAAGCAAGAATTCTTTAAATTCCCAGGTAGTTTGATTGGTGGAAAGTACTGCGTGGTGGATCGGGGCCAGTGTACATCCAGTTGTTGGGGAAGGAGGGAGCTGTTTAATCCAGAGGCTGTAATCTGCAGGGCTAACAGCTCCAACTGAAATAAATCCTCTGCTTTTGCCTTGAGGAGGCTTGATTTAAATCCCTGTTATCACCCTGATATTTCAGGTGACCGTGGCGTTCAGCGAACGGCAGTACTAGATTGTAAAAGATCAGTGTGAAGCGGTGGGTCGTGGAGGAACATGAAGCATCTACTTAAAAGGAGCTATTAAAACATTCAGACCTCAGTTTTTACTTTCCCGCTGAACAGCGTTCATCATTTGCACCCATTTTATTTGTTTTGTGGCGCTTTGAATGTGCTATTTGCGTAGCAAGGTGCTGTGTGTAGGGTGAGATTAAGAAGAGCAGAATCAGGCTTGAAAGTAGAGCCTTTTTTTTAAAAAAAAGATAATTACTTTCTTGATCAAAGCTCTTGTTTTGCAGCCAGTTAACTTGCCCTCCCTTTCTCTCCCATAGTTAATCTCCTGCCTGTGGATTGTGACAAAAGAACGGATGATGTAAGCATATATTTATTTATCTTCAAGTATTGTGGGTAGGGGATTCTCACAGAAGAGTAATTATTCTAGGTAACTTCCACCAATATCAGTATCACTGTAAAATTATTAATTCTATCCTTTACAGAAAAATTGTGATTTTGATGAGTTGGAATTAATGGGCCAGATTAAATTAGGGCTGGATATGAGACTCCGAAAGATAAAAATTTAAATTCCCAATTATGTGAATCAATTTCTTTAATAGTTGTAGCAGAAGTGATATTGGTTTGCAGTAAAGCTGTGTTCAGCTTCAACAATGCAAGATTTAATCCACCTAATTCCCAGAACTGCACTGTAAAGTGTTGTACAGCCCCATGCCTTTTATCATAATGTGTTATTAGGAGAGAGGAAATTTCCTGTTGGACTCAGAGTTACGGTCTCCTGTGATGTTCTGGGGGCAGAGACTCGATGTGCGATGGGTCAGATGGAATGTCTGGGCTGGGACCTGGGGGATTTGGTGGCACTTTCGGAGGCTGCACCGGCTCACTTTGGACTCAGAAACCGTAGATCTTTGCTGCAGGAGTGTTTAATTTGAGCTAGAGGTGTGTGACCGAGCCAAACCCCCGCTGCTGGTATTTTATTTGGGTGTTTTTAGCTAATCTGACCGCTGTCCCGTTGCTGCTGGTCTGTTCATGTTTGTTACCTGTTTCTGACTTTCAGTTCTGTCAAGCTAAACAGAAGGACGTGATAATGAACGTGCTGCACGAGTTGTATAAGTACTTGTCTGTACAAGCTGGTAAGTTCCAATTGTCGTTATAAACCACTTAGGAGCGTTCAACAAACTGCCTCTCCCAGCTGTCTGGCCATTTTTAACCTCAGCTTGAAGAGAGGAGTTTATGGAACAGTCAGTTCCGCTTGAAGAGCTCTGAGTAAGTCAGGTAATAGAAAAATAGAAAAAGATGTGTTTATTTTTATTCTGAATAGTGCTTAGCTAGTGCAGTTGTATCACCGCGCTCTCGTGGAGTGGTCCTTATTTGCACTTGATATATTGGGAATTTGAGATAGAAATATTCAGCTTTATGGTTCATTTCTACCAGCATCTTGAAATTGTCTTCAGGACACTCAGAGCCAGTAAGTGTAAGCTGATGTGTTCTTACAAATAAAGTTAAAGCGACTTAAGAAATTGCCAGATTTCTGCTGAAATGTGGCAGCTGATGAATGTGAGTGCCTCTCTTTCTCTCTCAGTACGGAGTGAGACGGGCTCTCTCGGCTGAGGAGCTGACCGAGCCCTGTAGTTCAGCCAGTCTCTGCTATCTATTAGTGAATCTAGTCCATAACCAGGATTTTGTGATGGAGAAGGCTGCTAGAAATTCAGTGGATGAGTAATAACTTGTTCAGCAAGATGTATAATAATCAATAAAAGCACTTAAGTTCTGTTTTCTAGATTTCAGACCTCAATAAGGCTGAATCCTTTAGATACTTAAGCTTCGCAGAATTTCTAAATCTTCTCAGATCAGACGTTGGCACCCGTGAAATTTCCACCAGTTTTATATAGCCCCTCAGCATATTTGTTTAGTCAACTTTGTGAAGCTGGATTTAGAAGATTTAGTTCCTCGCCAGCCTTTCTATGCCTGGGTAGAAGGCAGAGCTCTGATTTAGGCTCCTTAGAAACATTTTCAATGCTGATCGTTAACTCCAACGCCACAGCCTTCGATACCTGATGGAAGGAGCCGCTCTGCAGGGCGTGAGGTCCGAGAGGTGGTTCCCTACTCTGCAAGGGGGAAAAACAATAATGTTTTCCCCCTTGTTGTATATTGAGTAGCTCTCACTCTGAAGCGTGAGGTTTGATTGCCCTTATCCAACCTCTGTGCAGCAGCAGTGTTTTATTAGTAGTCGCCATCGTATCTGCCTCCAATATAAATCTTACCTTGTAATCATTTTGCCCGGAGCTATAGCCGATTTGAAAGGCTGGCGTTTCCAGGCAGTTCACTGTATTTCTAAACTGTTTGGTTTTTTTTTTTTTTCCCAAAACATTATGTGACTTTTTTTTTTCTTTTCCTTACCAGGTAATTTTGAATGCGGAAACCCTGAAAATCTAAAAAGCAAATGCGTTTGGGTTAATGAAGCGAAGGATCACGTGGTGGTGAGTAGGCTGTGAACAGCTATTGTTATAACGTAGCGCTTAGGCTCTTATAAGGCAATAAATAATAGATACTAAAGCAATTCACCATCTGTTTTACTTCCTCATCCTGTTTTGATTCTTTCCCATATCTCTGGCTTCCCCTTTGGCCAGTCCTGTTCTCAGCAGTTCTTTTGGAAATAATCTTCTCCTACATCTCTGATTCAGCCCCTGTAAATCTAACTTAATGGTTTGTTGTTTCACCATAGTCATCTGTCTTCTGGAACCAGAAATTTCCCTGTATCCAGGGCTGGGTAGAAGAAGGATTTTTCTATACCCCAAAGTGTCAGAAGACAGACTGCTTTGATCTAGCATTCCATTTCTTTCATGGTAAACTGTCAGTAAGATTATGTTGTATTTAGTGGTTAGTCTTAACAGTCTAGGATAGTGTTATTTTACAGAGTGCTTCATGCATCATCTACCAGAGTCAGAAGACTTCAGTCCAGACAGACCTTCAGATTTAGTTCTCCTTCCTCCAGTTTGCAGAATTACGATTAGAATTGACCTAGAGACAGACCGTAGAGAACAAATTCTCCCACCGCTGTAATGAAGTAATGTTATTCAGTATTTTAAATGAATGGAGAGCTAATCTTCTTATGGATTCTTTTGAACAGAATGTAACTGGTGCTTCCTCACAGAAGTTTGAAGCTGCCCTGCGCTGGATACTAAACAGTAACAAGGATTTAGGAATATGGTAAGTGGAAGCCCACTGTGTCAAAGTTGTGTTTCTCTGTGTTGGCTGATAGGTAATTTGACATCCTCTGTGGTGTGCCCTAAAGGCTCCCATACCTCGTTAAATTTCGGAAGATAATCTGGGATTGGCTTTGTCAGGGCTTGCTGGGCAAGCTTCCAACCAAAAACTACAGCCCTGCAGCAAAAATTGGCAACTGAGTTCATTCCTGGGGAGGCTGTTTCCCAGCCGTTGCGCTGGGGGGACATCGCGTTCACGGACACCCTGTCTCGCGGGGGAGGTGTAAATCTGAGGTCAGGGCTGCCTGTGGCTGTCACCAGTTGCCTTGTGCTTCCTGCAAGGTTTAGAAGTGGTGGTCCTGGTGTCCTACCACGCTTCTGTGGCTACAGCACACTTGTTAAACTTGCCCATATACTCACTTTTCCTGAGATAACCTTTTTTTTCAGTGCTCCAGTGTGTGGACTGGAGTTGCGCCCTTTGGTTTATTGGAGAGCAAAGTGCTCTCTTCAGTAGGTAACATCCCTCATGTTTTGGGATCCTTTGGAGTAAGTCCCAATGAGGAGGAGGCCAAAATGGGTTGTTGAATGGTATATTTTCTTCAGTGTCAGTTGTCTTTCTGGCAGAACACACGGTACCTCTTAAAATGAACAGTCTGACTGTGTAGGGTGTTGGTCAGTCATCGGTGGGGCTTTTTTTCTCTTGGGTTTCTTGGCTAGCAGTCTCTTCAGGACACAAGTAGCAGAAATACTAGTGTTTTCACGTGAAAAAAATACATCATTCAGGCCATAACCTAATGAGAGACTGTTATCCAGAGTCTGCAGACATCATTATCTTCCTCCGGGAAGTGTGGGCTGCCTCCAGTCTGTGTTAACTCTGAAGTCTAACACTTGTTTGCATTTTAACATTGCTAAATGTATCTCTGATTAAATGAATTGTAACAGTAGTAAGGCTGGAGTTGGTGCACGTAGCTTGTATGAATTCCCACTGCTCGATTTGTCTCTAAGAAGACTGTCTGCAGCTGCTGCTGGGATCTAAGGATCAGACAGTGTCTGTGGCGTCGATTACTGTGTGTGTGGCAAATTCCCCGGACAAGGCAGAGGTTCCTTAGTGGCAGGTTTGGGATTTGTAGGTGGGCTGGGATCCTGAGATTTCAAATTCACATTTTTCTACAGGAGCACTGCTCGTGTCAGGAGCCGTGTGATACGATATACTCCCATATTTTTTTTATTTTTTTTTTTATTTTCCTAATTAGCGACTCTGCTGGCTGTTCGCCCAATGGATCCACTTTCAGACGCCTGCATCGCATGCAGAACGAGCGCTCAGCGCGCTTAAAAACCTGCAGGTGGCATTTTTAGCAAACCCTCCCTGAGATTGTTTTTCTAGGTGCTAGTCTGAGAGGCAGAACCGAAAATGAGCTCTGCGCTGGGTGATTCTGCTGCATATTTTAAATATTTTCATGGAATTTGGATTGTAAATAAGACAAGGGGGTGGGAAACAACTGCGTGTCTCCAGCTACTGTGGAATCCGGTAACCAAATACAAGCTGTCAGCAGTTTGTGAGCTGTGCACTAGTAAATTGAGAAAACGTCTTTGTCTAATAGGTTATTCATTGCAAACATAGAATGAATTAGTAGCTTAAAAAAAAAAATAAAAATAAAATCCCCTTTAGTCCAATTCCTCTGAATCTGATGGCTCTCACTTGGATTACTTCATGCCTGTTGGCTACGAGTATCTAATAAGGGAAGCACATCGGCGTAGATCTGTGTATAAAGAAGTGAGTTAAGGCGTGTCGGCTGGCACAGCAGGTGTGCAGGAGGGATTTTGCAGGAGGATGTGTTATCGATTTCGCCATGAATGCTTTCCGAGGGTGTGTCTGTTCTCACTGCAGATACAGTTGATGCATTGTCACTTTTCTACCTAAACTGTTTATGCTCCTCTGTACCCTGGAAAACAGCGCAACCTCCGCGGACGTTCGCAGTCTCCCTCAACTGCTCTCTCTGCAATTGCTGATGAGTGACTCAGTAAACATTTCCATTTCTCTGTGCTGGGAGGTGGGAATCCAATTTAAAGTTTAATCTTCTGCACGCTGAGAGGTGCTGTCAAAGAGTCTGCAGAGGGAGACTTCAGTTTACCAGTGGGAGTTCCAGCCCTGCTGCCTTTTCTAAAGCCATATCCATTCCTTGCTAAGCAGCCAGTCCCAAAATGTTCTGGAAAGAGGAGCTGCAAGGATGATGGTGTGTTTTCTACGTGGTGTGTGCAGAACGAGTTACTGCATCCGCAGTCTGGTTCTTCTCCCCGTCTTGATTAAGGACTGCAGTTGGAGTGTCTGCTCTCTTCAGTGAAGCTTTTCTGCCTCTTTCCACCAGGTTGAGAGCCAGAGACCTTTCGGAAGCGGTTACCAGGGTGGAAGATGTGTTCTGCCTCGAATCGGCCCATCCCCAGATGGGGCTCGGCTGCCGCTTCCGACGGGCAGTGGTCACTGCCATCATGAACCTCTTCCTGTTTTTCTGGAGTAAGTCATCCATGGTAGCAATCAGGTTTTCCCCTTCCTCACTGTAGAGATGGACTTGTGCACGTGCACATGTTCTCCCAGCCTTATGAAATTACTAATAGAGGTGGAATAAATCTGCTGATGAGTTAATTTCTAATTAACCTTTGTTCTGGCAGCAGAGGGAGACCTTAAGACCTGCTCTTGTGCTGTGAGTGCTTAACACTTCCTTTAAATCAGCGAGCTGATTAGCTCTCTGGGTATTCCTCAAGTACCCATTACTATGGTCTGCAAAATAAGTGTGTTAACCTACCTAAAAGATTCGCTTTTTCTTTCTTTCTTTTCTTGCACTAAGCTGCAAAGTCTTTCAGCCTCTTTAATAATGACTTGTAGCATTTCAGTGTTAGAGGTTTTATTGGAATAGTCTGTCATGCCCCAGCTGCGACAGAGGTCTTACCCAGTGAGGTGATAACGAGAGAGGAGTGTTGACTAGAAGAGTTTATAATCTACCCAGACAAGGTGGGGGTGAAAGGCGATAGTTATGTTTATTGTAGAGACCGAGATACTAAAGTTAGCTCATGTTGGAACGGGGGCATTTGTCAATGCTAAACCTTCAATATAGATCTCCTGAATTTCAGGCTGGCGCTGCAGCCCCAGGCTTTATTTCCTTATCAAGCCGCTATCTCCGGAGCAGTGGAGCTTGACAGTCTTCCTAAGTGATTATTGTGGGGGAGGCCTCTAGCAAAGAGATAGCTCTGGGACTTGGAGAATTGAAGCCCTGAGGTTTCTGGTGTGGGGGGAAAGCTCCACGATGAGGCCTTACCACCACCTTTTCCCACATGCACGTAGTCTTCTGCTGCAGGTGTTGTCAGTACCAAGGTTTCTGCGGGGCACAGCTGCACTGATGATCAAAATGAATTGCTTGGATTCAGTTCCGAGCAGGTCTGGGGAGCAGGGAGTGAAAGCTGCCTCTGGGGAGAAACAGTGTCAGAAATAAAACCACTAGCATCCAGCAAGTACATGTCTGTCAGTTATTGAATTCCGTTTGTTTTTATTCTCCTAGGTCTGATAACTCTTTGGGGGATCCTGATCTTCCTCAGGTATCGCTGGCGGAAGATGGAGGAAGAGGAACAAGCCATGTATGAAATGGTGAAGAAGATCATAGGTAGGATCCAGTAGCTGTGTAAATGCAAGCAGCCCTGTTCTTCCCTCTGCAATGTCGAGGTCTCTCACCGTTTCCTATTCCTGCCCCCCAGCTGTTGTCCAGGACCACTATAAGGAATGGGAACGCAACTTGGAACGTTACCCCTACGTCGGCATCTTCCACGTTCGGGACAGCCTCATCCCTCCTCAAAGCAGGTCAGCTGGGTTTTATTCATTCAGGAGGGCTCTCAGCATGATGTTGTCCAGCTCAGCTAAAAACCACTGTTACGGAGCAACGGACCACGAGCAGACAATTGATGGGAAGCTGGACTGCAAGAAGAGTCTGTCTGGCCCTTCAGCTTATAAAAGATTTTGACATAACTCAGGCTGTGTCTTAACCTGCTGCAGATTAATGTGACAGTCCTGGGGCTGAGATTTTGTGCAGTCACACAGGTGTATTGTCATTGTTCTATCAAGCAGTAATTGGATTTTGTTTTGCTTGGGCATGGAGCATCTGATTTTCTCTCCTTCATCTAATGTGGGTAGGATGCTGTCCTCTTTCTCAGCCGTCATACCTTATTCTCCAGAGAGGTGCTGTGCTTTTCAAAGCAGACCTTCCCATGAGGTGAATAGGGGATTGGGAGGCTTTTCTGAAGCAGTTGTGTATGTTGCTGCCTGGGAAGTTTCCAGTTCAAGCTGGGCAGCTTTGAAAGGGAGATAGAATCATAGAGTTGTTACAGTTGGAAGGGACCTTAAAGCCCCCCCAGTGCCACCCCCTGCCCTGGGCAGGGACACCTCCCACCAGACCAGGTTGCTCCAAGCCCCCTCCAACCTGCCCTTGAACCCCTCCAGGGATGGGGCAGCCACGGCTTCTCTGGGCAACCTGGGCCAGGCTCTCACCACCCTCCCACCAAACAAGTTCTTCCCCACAGCTCAGCTCCATCTCCCCTCATTCAATATAAAACCATTACCCCATACAGTGAGATGGCTGGTTTTGGTGCTTTTTAGAAAAGGGTGGTTGAGATAGTTACTCCATGAGCGGTGGGACCAGAGGGCACTGCAGCTTGGGTCTCACTGGTTTTTGTGCCCCTTGCTCCATCTCTGCAGGAGAGTGTAGTTTGTTTTGGTTAAACGGAGCTACTTTGTTCTCCTCTTGGCACAGAATATTGTGTGTGCTCCAAAGTCTTAAACATCCTTACTCTTTATCAGTCACAAAACTCCTTTCTCTACTCGTGGTAATTTCAGCTGGTTTGAACCCGTCTTTGGGGTTGTGATGCCCAGAGTTACTAGACTCAAAGCTGGGGTGAACTCCAGTTTGTCCTCCCTGGTCTGAGAGATCTCTGGTGCAGGAAGGGTGAGGGCGATTTGCTAATCAAGTCCTTTCACAGTAGGAATTGAGCTTGAAATTCAGCGCAGTCATCAATTACTGGTACTGACAGAGGGTCTCGTCTTCCCAGCCCCACCAGGCAGGACCTGTGTTTTCATGCCCTGGCTTGAAATTGCTTCTAAACCACAATTCTGGTTTAATCTCCTTTACTGTCTGCACACGGGGAACAGGGGGCGGTCGCTTGATCAGCAGCCACAACTGCTGTAAGCAGGAAACCACAATGAGAATACGATTCTAATTTATTTTCTTTTTTTCGTGCTGTTTCTTGCAGAAAAAAAATGAAGCGGGTGTGGGAGAGAGCTGTGGACTTTCTGGCTTCAAACGAGTCCCGGATTCAGACAGAGTCGCACAGAGTAGCAGGAGAGGACATGCTGGTGTGGAGATGGACTCAGCCTTCCTACGTCTCGGATTCAGAGCACTGAAGAGGAGCAGAAGTTGAGCAACTGTTGATATGGACCCTCTGCGAGGGGACATCCCTTCTCTGGTGGTGGGAAAGAGCAGGTCACGGGCCGGAGCTCCCAGGGTTGGGGATTGTGCCTCTCTGTTTGCTCTTCTTCCTGAAAAATCTTCGCACACAAAAAGTCAGGGCAATAATATTGGCTCGGAAAGAAGATGGGCTTGAGCTGGTGGGAAGCCAGAATTGCACCAAAGTCAGCCTTCCAGCAGGCATCTGGCTTCCGTAGGCAAGCGAACCTAGAACAACGTTTTAAAAAGAAAAAAAAAGAAAATGCAGACCTAATATCGAGGGACTCAGGGTCTCTCAGACAAACCTTAAGTGTTTAAAATTTGACCTCAATTCTGGTGGCAACGCCCGTCAGGGAATGTCTTTCAAGAAGGTTAACATTTCCCATGGAAACTTTAGGGTGGCAGCTCATACGTGTTTTGTTAGAATTTGTTTTTATCAGTACAAAGTGATGAAAGCACTTGCTGCTTCCTGAGGAGGAAAACGTTGGTGTCGGCTTCACCCTTATAAATGGGGAAGGGGTGGGGGGAGCAGTCAGGTGAGGGTAGTCCTGGGGGGGTGGGCAGTCTGAG